GAAAGCTTTCAATTAAATAGGGGAGCTGCAGAAAAACATTATCTCTCCACCATGTAGAAGAGTACGAGTGTAAAGACTCTCAAGGCTCTTAAGTAGGTAATCATAGATAATCAACCCGTGGACCCTTTTCCACGTAATAACAATTTTGGAGGCCCCCTCCACTGGATTCCCATAGACATGGGAATCTCAACGATCTTGGTCGACATCGGAGAAATCATGTGATCGCAACCACGTATATCAAGTCATGGCCTTACCACATATAATAACCAGTAGCCTTGCCACGAACAATCATAGACTATGGCTTAACCACGTCTAACAACTTATCGGTGACCTAAAAAGTTCTCTAGCTAGAGCTCACTTGTGCACAAGGGTCACACTATTCCGATATGACATTCAGCCTACTCTTGATGCTCTCGGTTTGTCAAAACCGTTTTTAAAACCAAATTAAGGTTTTCAAGAGTTTTTCCTTAAATCATTTGAAAACAAGGTTCAATAACCTTTCAAAATTGCTTTTCACATTAAAATGCATGGTGTAAACATATGCATAAAGTTCGGACAATAACTGGCTCACAAGAAATCAAATTTAAGCCATTTATCAAGTGCAATCAACTATGCACACTTTACAAAGATTCAAGGCACGGTTTTGATGCAAAAAATTGCAAAAGGGCTTGTTTCTCGATTTCTAAAACACTCGACATATATGTATATATATATATATATAGTCCACACAAACAACTTCCAAATCACTTTGCAAGTACAATTGCCTATGGTTTCTACTAGCTTATGCTTTCCACAAAAGTAGTGAATAAATCATTACAAACCATGTATTCAAATCACTTATCATTTTCTAGCAACTCATGCTTTCCATAAAGGCATTGGATAATACTATATATATATATATATATACTTTGATATAATAAAAATCTTTTAAAATTGACACCCCTTACTCACCTTACAGTGGCGGGATATTACTTCGCCACTTATCCGGTTACGTTTCAAATTAAATTAGCTTGTCAGTCACCTATTTCCTTCTTTAGTTAATCACCACGGTAATCCTTTTTCACTTGCACACTTGTTAGCAATAAACCAAGCTTAATATACTTAATATTTATCATTCCAATTCCACTCACATTTGCTGCCCTATGTACCAAATCCTTAGTTCTTTTCATTTTCAAGAACTATTCACATTTCAAATAATTATTTTTCACTATACCCAATCGAGCACATTATTTCCAATTTCATG